GCTTTTTTTATGGGGGGGGGGGGGTTTATTAATTTTTTTCCCTTTTTTAAGAGGGGAGACCAGGTTGCCCAAAAAAGGGGGGGGGGGGGGGGGGGGGGGGGGTGTACTCATAGTCGTGCATGCCGTAGTCGTTAGACCATTGACCTCGCATCCCTACAAAGCCGGGACGGAGCACGCCGGGTTCTCACCGGACCAGGCTCTCACATCACCAAGCGCGAAGCGCCGTGAGGTATTCGGCGAGTCGCATGAAGGGTGAGCTGCATCCTGCTAAGGGTATTCGGCATCTTGTGCTTACTTCCTTGCGTACGGATGACAGCTGCGTATGACTTAATTTATTTTCTGGTGCTTTCACTTCCAGAGACAGTTGTAAGCACTGTGTAACTGCCTCGAGGATGCTTGACCATTTTAACACAACGTGGTGCGATCATCCCCCGTTGCGCGGAGTGAGGTTTCTCGACCCCGCACAACATGATCTACTCGACCACCATTATGGTGACCGCCAAAAAAAAAACAGAGGTAAAAAAAAAACCGGTAACCTGGTTGCCAAGTTCACGAAGTGAATTGGCTTGTTTTACAGCGTCGTTGCCAAGCGACGAAAACCCGATCCCGATGGCAAACACCGAGGGGGGGGCTTGTTTTACGACGTCGTTGCCAAGCGACGAAAACCCAACCCCGATAGCAAACACCGGGCGGGGCGGCATGTTTTACAACGTCGTTGCCAAGCGACGAAAACCCAATCCCGGTGGCAAACAACGGGGAGGGGGGGGGGGGTGTACTCATAGTCGTGCTTGCCGTAGTCGTTAGACCATTGACCTCGCATCCCTGCATAGCCGGGACGGCGCACGCCGGGTTCTCACCGGACCAGACTCAGACATCACGAAGCGCGAAGCGCCTTGAGCTATTCGGCGAATCGCATGGAGGGCGCACTGGCTGCATCCTGCCAAGGGCGTTCGGCATCTTGTGCTTTTCTTCCTTCTGTACGGGTAGTAATTTGCCTGCCTTAGCAGTTAGACCACTGACCACGTGTCCTCAACAGGACGGGACGGGGGGGGGCGGGAGTACCCGATTCTAGCCTGCGGCACGTTAGCTAGTCTCTCTCGTACATGATCTGCTTTCCACGCTGTTATGGTGTTGTAGAGAAGCTGCCACTGCTTGTTCTACGGTACTACAGAACGCGCCACCACCTAAGAACCTCTTTTACAGTTTCGGCCGAGGCTGGGGTTGTTACTGTATTCCTAGGGTCATGCTACGAATGGCTACTATGTAGGTTTTTAGTGTGGGGGTTCTTGACCGAGCTCACAAATGGGGCTCAAGCATATATTTCAAGAACCTTTGGTTATGGCCGAGGCTGGGGTTCTTACCGTATTCCTAGGGTCATGCTACGAATGGTCGCTATATAGGTTTTAGTGTAGGGGTTCTTAACCGACCTCACAAATGGTGCTCAAGTTCTTCAATCAATCTTGGTGTTTTTGAGCCTTAATTTCTTAACGCCTGGGTTCTTGAGTGCGGGGGCGTTCTGTAGTCTTCGTTGGCACACAACGATAGCTCCCCGGTGGGCAACAGACTCGAAAATCCAGCGGGTCTCATTGTATCGGACAGCTTGGGCGGGTATCCTCTGATCGGCGAATAACGTTGTGTACAGAAGTGTTAATTTTTTTTGTCCGTTGTGGTTCGCTGGACTGTTCGAGTCAACAGCACGTCAGCTGTGTGAGCTGTCGAGCTTGGGAAACGTCAAGCCGCATCTGGCAGTCTGTCTGTGGGTTTGGCGAGCTGCTTCTGCTTTTTTTGCCATCCTTCATCGCCTTGATTACGCTGTGCTCTCATGAGCCCATTCCTGAGGGATCACTTGTGTATCTACACAGCTCTGGTAAATAGATGTTAAACCGTTATTCAGCAATCACACAATAATGTCAAATATTCAGACCGTGCCTCTCTCTCTGTTGTTGTTCCTCGCGACCAAAACTTCAGGCGCCCAACGTGTAACACCGTGTTTGGTTTGGTGTCGAGCTTGTGAATTACCGTCGCGTTGTGAATTACCGTCGCGCTTTTTCGTCCTTGTGGGATTTTGTTGGCTGTTCTTTTTGGCGCGAGTGCGTGTGTGCATACCGTAGGTGGCATGACGTAAGATATCACACCACCTGGCCCGATTTTCTAAGCTCGACTTTCTCCACAGCTGAACTATTGACGGTGCCGAGAATGACGGCGTTGAAACGAACCGTTTCGTCGAGAAGTTTTCGATAACGTAACGGTTGGACGCGTACATCCTCTTTGTCGTGGAGCGATCGAGCTTTGGAGAGTGGACTCAGGGGGGGTGTAGCCTTACGGTACGTGTGTGTATGTAGTATCGACCGTACCAACAGGCAGGGATTTTTCGAACGACATCAGTCTCCGAGCGGGACAATAAATATTCGGCCAAAGTGTGTGTGGCTCATTATTGAGATTGGCCAAGCTCACCGGCTGACCAATCAAATGCTTCTATAGGCTACGGTCTGGGACCCTGCGAGTGCGTGTGCGTGTCATTAACTGATGTTGACCGTGCTACCCGGCTGACTAATGAAGGACGTCAGTCTCAGAGTGCGGCAAAGTCGGAAAAAACGCTCCTCAAGAAGGCCACGATATTCTTGTTCGCAGGAGACGTCAGTCACAGTGCGGCAAAAATCGGAGAAACGCTCCTGAAACACCGCGATGCGCAGAGGACATGTGTGCAACAAAAAATGGGAACAAAGAAAACGCTTACGAACTTTGTGCGTGCCTGCCTGTGACTCGTGTGTGCGGAACGTACGCGCAGCTACGCCGGCTTCTCGAAGAAGGGATACGCCCCGCACAACCCGCGGAAGCACAACCAAGACGCGCTTATCATGGCGGAGGACGCGTCGACGGCGACGCTGTTCCTTGCCGTCATGGACGGCCACGGTGAAGTCGGGGAGAAGGTGGCACAGGTGGGCGGAAGGAGTTCTTCAAGTATGATCCGTTCTCCGCCGCCGCCGCTGCTGGAATGTGTTGGGACGGTTGTTTCGTTTTGTGTCTTGGTTTTGAACTCCACCAATGTCTTAACATGTCATCGTTGACGCCACGGGGGAAGTAGGAGAAAAGGTGGCACAGGCGAGGAAATCTTCCCAAGTGTTGTAGTCCACTCGCTGGTGCTGCTGGTATGTATTGGGAAAGGTTTAGGTTTGTGTTGTTTTCGTCTCTTACCAAAATTTGAACTGATGACCGCGACGCCAATGTGAAAAGACGGCATCAATTGTCCTTCGACAGACACACGTTGGAGAGATGTGATCATTCATGAAAGCGGATCTCCACATGCTTTTTTGGTTTTTTTCTCATGGTTTATTTTGTTTTTGCACGAGTACTCTTAGGTCCGCGGGGCGGGATTTTTTTTGTTTTAGTTTTGTTTGTCCCTCGTCGTTTTTTTGCAAAACGATTCTTTTCTTCTTCTTCTTCTTTTCGGGGTTTTGTGGTTTCGCCTTACCTTCGCCACGTTTAGGCGTCCAGTGGATCAGTACAAATGCCGTTGTGGAATCGAGGGCATGCTCGGCACCACAACTTTTTGCCGCGAAGTGGACGACATCGACGACGGCACAACAACAAAGAAAACAACAACTACCACCACACCAGCGCCACCACGCACCAGCACCAACAGCACCAACAGCAACCGGAACAACAACACTCCACACGGCTGACACCGCCTCATACGTCCACTCCGCCTGTGGCCGTCACTCGCTTACATCAATTCTACAGCCATTCGCCGGCCAAGAATATCAAGTGTACCCCGTCCACAATGACGTTACCTAACAGTCGTGTTTGTTGCTCCGCCCCGTCGCAGGCGTTCCGCGTTGGGCTGGTTCCGGCTGTGCTTGATCACCCCGAGTGGGAGACGTCTCCGGAGATCGCTGTAGCGGAGTCGATCTCCTCCATTGAGCGGATCTTACTGGGTGAGGAGCGTTAATAGAACATTAACCTCGTCTTTCTTTCTCGGGTGGTAGATAGACATTGTGAGATTCTAGGCGGCAGTCCCCGTCTTGGGAAGATTGTCGTAACTGTTTGCTTCTCTCTATCTCTCGGTGTCTCTCCGATTCCCGGTCTGTTTCTGTCTCTCGGCCTGTGTCTGTCTGTCTGACTGTCTGTCCGTCTGTCTGTCTGTCTGTCTG